TTTTTCAGTCAGGTTTCCCGAGGCAAAATCACACCAGAAGTAAAGATACACCTCTTCGAGTTACGGCGCCCATTGTCTGACATCACTGTGAAAAGGGTCTCCAGAAAAACTTCCGGTTCAGAAGTAAAACGAGCTGTAGTCCAATCAGCGATTTCTTAGGTTTCCACTGGGACCTACCTTTTCCGTTTTCTAACGAGCTGTAGTCCAATCAGCGATTCCTTAGGTCTCCGCTGGGACCTACCTTTTCCGTTTTCTAACGAGCTGTAGTTCAATCAGCGATTTCTTAGGTCTCCACTGGGACCTACCTTTTCCGTTTTCTTAATGTTGTTGTGTTTTTCTTAATGTCGGTGTTTTTGTTAATGTCGTTGTGTTTTTGTTAATGTTGTTGTGTTTTTCTTAATGTCGTGTTTTTCTTAATGTCGTTGTGTTTTCGTTAATGTTGTTGTGTTTTTCTTAATGTCGTTGTGTTTTTGTTAATGTTGTTGTGTTTTTCTTAATGTCGTTGTGTTTTCGTTAATGTTGTTGTGTTTTTGTTAATGTTGTAGTGATTTTGTAATTTGTAATTGTGCTTCGTTAATGTTGTGGTGTTTTGCACCTCAGGGCCACCGGAATAATGTGATTTAAATGTCAAGGACACAGCCTACCAGGATGTGTCATGAGCTTTGATAATTGGGATATGGACCTCTATATATGGCTGGTTAAATGCACCAGTTTCAGTTTTGCTTTTAGTGTTAATGACTATGACAGCTGCATGAAAGGATGCAATTAAATGGGTTTTATATACAGAGAACTACACAACAATGGGAAAATAATCTTGCACAATAATTTAAAAATAATCCTGAGAGGGTTCTGAGACGAAATCCAAAATCTGTGTATTCTTCTCAAATCTTTTAGTCAGACACACCAAGGTTCTCTAATGTGATTGTATTTTTTTTTCTTATAAATTTAAATGCTGTGTTCAGTTTGTCTTAGAAGCAGATCTCTGAAGTCACAACCAAACTGAAAATTTTCTAGTTGCTAGTTTGAAAACAGATACATTTGCAATTTGCTTGGCGACCTCTCCAGGGTGACCCTCCCTCTTGCCCGGAACGTTAGCTGGAGATAAGCACCAGTAACCCTCCCGACCCCACTAGGGTGAACCTAAAATGGATGGATGGATGGATGGGTTAACAATAGAAGCAGATGACACATTAATTTACTCTGCATATGTGTCTTGTCGTCATGTTGTGTTGTATGTTTATTGTGGACTCCAATGCAGAATGTAAGAAGGAGGTTGTAAATGAAGGACATTTAATAAAAATGATGAACAAAAAACTTAAAAAATCACAAGGAGCTAGAGCAGAACAAAAAAACCATAAACCCAATGAGGGAAAAATACAGCAAAGAGACATGAAGAGAATGCAGAGTCAAATAGGGAAGTAACAGGGTATTACTAATGTCATCTTACCTGGCTCCGCTGACATTAACTCCCACCATCAGTTGTCCATTTACTGACAGCAATTCATCTCTGAGTTTGATACACCTACAACAGGCTGCTGGGCTTTTCTTTTTCACCTCTGTCACCCAAATGCAGCCCACGTCAATGATGGGGCCCTCCTCTCTCTTTTTCCTTGAACAGCCTTTTTTTCTGATATCAGGATCCCCAAAAATAGGGATATTCCCAAAGCTCAGGCCAAATTCAGCAGCATCGTCCTCACTTTTTCTGAAGGAAACAGCATGAACTTCGACATCAAGTCCCTTTCTACAATAGGAGCTTGTAGCTGAGAGAGCTGTGTCACTCTCCATGAAATTGAACTTAATATACTCCACCAATTTCTGAGCGGCAGCCAGACACAAGGGCAGATCATCCAACTGAATACTGCCACAAAAACTGTCTTCTTCTCCCTTGTGGTACTCTTCATCCTGGAAGAGGTAGAAGAACCAACAAATCTGTATACTCAGTCAATTTTAGACAGACAGACAGTATCAGTCCCAACAGAAGTTTACATATACTCATATAATGATTATGGACCTCTTAGAATTAATAGAATAACATAATTCTAAAACAAAAACTTTTAATTAATTATAGCCAACAAACTGGATGAACAATTCAATAAATAATTGATTTTTCTCTGGTCTAACAATGCTGAAAATGATAAATAAATGTTCAAATAGAAGCCTTCTATTGTCTTCTATTGAGTTGTTCATCTTCCACAAGCCTTTTAACAAGCAAGCTTCTGGTATACTTCTAGCTTGATATTTGACCACTTGCTTTGGTTGAATCAGTAAGATTCCTTTAATCTGGTGGACTTCCTCTTACAGAACTGGGGCTTTAGGAAGGCCATTACGCAAACTAAATAACAGTCTTAAGAATATGTCCATTCTTCAGTTGATGCAAAGTTGAATTTCAATGGATTCCTCCATCTTCATTATTCTATTCATCTTTTTTAACACTGGTTCACTGATTGTGAACCAACCTCACACAGCACAATTCTACCACCACTATAACAGATTAGATGCTCTGATTCCAAAGAGTAACATGGCTGTTTGATTTCAAAGAGCCATTTTGTACTTTCTTTGGTACCTCTTTTGTGTTTTCTTTGTACCAGTAAATCTGTACATCTGAGTTGGCCAAACAACTCAGTATATCTTTGCTCCATAGGGAATCTGGCTTGAAGATGACAATTGGTGTTTCATCAGTTATGATTAGTGCAGAAATTTAGAAAATTAGAAATTTTGTACAATTTAGTTTGGATAAAATTATAGTTAAGTCCTAACTGCCTAAATTTAATTACATATCACATAAATATACTTGTATTCTTGTCATTTTGGGTCAAGGGAGCTGCCAGGAATCTTGGGCCCCATGACAAAAAATTAAATTGGGCCCCCCCTTCGCAGCTGCTCTTACAATTTCTTGAGTCTATCTGATCCATCAAAAGTGTCACAATTTTAAAGGCTTGCAATTGCCTTAATTTCTTTGGTTCAATAGTGATACAGAACAATATTTACTGCTTGTGAATTTTACATGAAACAGTCTGCATACATTATGCAAGTAGGTAGCTTACATTTTTTCTATTAGTTTTAGCTTACTGAAAGGTCTCTTCCCACGAGCAACAGTCGTGGGACATGCAACATGCAAAATACACATGAAGCGATCTAGACTTCTCAAAAAATGCTATATAGTTGCATTTTATTCAAGCTGCAGTACATAACTTTAATAAAAAATATGTTTTCTCCATATTAAAGCTGATACCATGACCGATAATCTGTGAAAAGATCAATCTCCTCCACCTCCTCTCTGAACTACTATTACTGGCTAAAGTAATGCAGCATTCTGGCCAAAAACAGTCAATCAGAACCAGGAGGTAAGGCAATTTTATTTATGTAGCACATTTTCAGCAACAAGCCAATTCAAAGTGCTTTACATAAATTAAAAGGAAATACAAACAAAAAGGAGGAGGATCTTAGTGCTGTCAGTCAACCTCATTCACTCACTGCTAAATGAGAGTGCTAATGGTGGAGAAACAACTTATTATATCATCACTACATGATAGCTACAGCATAGCACAGAGTAACGGGAGGGAGGATGAGCAACCACATGAGATTGTGATTGACAGCGCTAAAATCCACCTCCTGCCTCTGATTGGTTGTTTGTAGATAGTGGGAGAAAGCAGATGAAAAAATTTTTTCACAGATTATCTCTATACCATACTGTCGCAACATAATGACAGTTTTAACAAATATGTAAAAAGAATTTTTTATAAAGTTATATACTGCAGCTTTAATTTCACTAGGAGAGGACAGGTAAGGAGCGAAATGGGTTAGAGCTGCTGCTGACAGTCTTATCTATTGTGTGTGGTAAAAGGTACAAGTACCGGTTAAATATATGAATATGTTGGTAATGTTTTTCCTTTGTTCATTAAATGCTACTGAAATGGCTAACTTAGCTAACTATGCTAAATGGTTGATAATCTCACAGTCTACCCACCTCTCTTGGAGAAAAACTGGGTTATAAATTGACACTTGTCTTTTTACCTCTCTTATTTCTCTATTTTGTTTTTAAACCTGTCTTTATATTTTTTCTTAGAAGCATAGTAACTGCCATAGTCGTTCTTGTCTTCTACAGATTGCTGCTGAACACTGTCACCATCAAGCGCTCCAAGCAGTAACGAACCATTTCATGCAGATCCAGGGGGTGTGCAGTGCAAATATGAATATGTGCTTTTTGGTCTGGGAGTGGCACCATTTGATTTTTACTGCTAAAAGCAATTTTAGAAAACAAAATATGATTAATTTTGTAATTGATAGGGCCACATTTTATTTTTAAATTTCTATACAAGAAAGAAAAAATTGTGGAGGGTCCCCTGTTGGTCAGGGGCCCTTGGAATTGTCCTAACTCTTCCCCCCCTTATTCGTGGGAGGTTTACTGGGAAAATGATTATGGGTCTTACTTCTGGCGCCCACCGGAAGTGGCAGTATTTCACTGTAATTTGTAGTTTTTTTTGCTAATTTATATCCATGATAGAAGTTACATCTCTCTTTTCAGTTATAATACAATATTTAGTTAAATTTGTTCACCGTCTTGCTATCAGAGAGATGCTCAGTACAGAGGATCATAATTGTAAGTTTAATCACGGGGAGTGACAGGAACATGATCATTACGTTTTGTAATGGGATAACTGTAAGTTAGCAGCCCTGCTAGCAGCTCGCTTCTCTGAAGAACTGACAGTAATAAAGAACAGAAAAGCAGAGAAGCTGGTCAGAGTTCTGATCTGCAGTTTGGCGCCGACAGTATAAAACTACATAATATTAGTTAGGTGTGATGTGTATTTTATTTTTTGTTTGTACTTAAAAAATAATAAAATTCATGATCTGAGTCTTTATCATGATGTTTGGGGCAGGAGCATTTTTTATAAGACAAAATAAAATATCTGGGCTCATTTAGTCCATTACAACCAGAATCTCGAGGTTCTCAGTTGCTGAGTGTCACTGCAAATCAGCGGAGAAATGACCGCAGCTGCTGTGCTCCAGACCGCAATACGGAGAATCTCCCCACTGGACTAGAACCGAACCAAATCACACATTAACCTGTTATAGAGAGCAACTTTCCACTGGAAAGTGTCTGTCCTTACGGAGCTCGGTTAACTGTGCTGTTCGTGGCTGTACTTTAATAATCAGACCAAGTTTAATTTGTGGCAGCACCAGGTGTGTCTTGAACATGCTCCCCAGGGGCGCCGTATAGGGAGGAAAAGTTATGACAATTCTAAGGGCCCCTGACTGACAGGGGGCCCTCCACAATTTTTTTTTTTTCATAGAAATTAAAAGAAATTGGGGCCCTGTCAATTACAAAATTAATCATATTGTGTTTTCAAAGATTGTTTTTAATCAGTAAAAATTAAATGTTACCCCTCCCAGACCAAAAAACACACATCCATATTTGCCTTGACCCCCGCCACCCCCCTCCTCCTGATCTGCATGAAATGGTTCCTTCCTGCTTAACAGTGATGTGTTCAGCAGCAGCCACAAGAACAACCGTGGCAGTATGCTGCTAAGAAAAATTATAAAATCAGATTTCAAAAAATAAATAAATAAAAAATAAAGAGAGGGAGAGAGAGAAAAAGGTAAGAGTAACCCAGTTTTTCTCCGAGAGTTGGGTAGACTGTGTGAGATTATCAACCATTTAGCATAGTTAGCTTAGCTACAGACTACTGTTTGTCTCCTTTTCACTAAAATTTAATGAATTAAGGAAAAAAATTACCAAGATATTCTGACAAGGAGAGGAGTTGGAGCGAAATTGCTACCGCAGTTGATATGCCGGGTAACTTTTCAGCTGTTCATCATTAATGTGACATAAATAGGTTATAATGATAAGGTTATTCATTCAGCCGCGTTCGTTTACTTTAAATTCACGTCTGATATAGTGGATTTTTGGCAACTGTGGCTCTGTGGGAAGAGTAGTCCTTCTTGTGATCAGAAGGTTGTAGGTTCGATTTCAGCTTCCTCCTGCCACATGTTGCATGTTGATGTGCCCTTGGGCAAGGCACTTAACCCCAAATCGCCTACCGATCTGCGTATCGGTGTATAAATGTGTGAGCGTTTGTGAGTGCGAATAGGTGAATGTGACTCTTGTGTAAAACGCTTTGAGTGGTCAAAATGATTTTATGTGTGTTTTGCACGTTGCTTTTGACTGTTGCTCGTGGGGAGAGATATTTCAGTAATCTAAAACTAATAGAAAAAAAATTAAGCAACTTACCTGCATACTGTATGTGGACTGTTGGATGTAAAATTCATGATCAGTAAATATTGTGCTAGTATCAGTATTGAACTAAACAAAACAAGTTGCAAGCCTTTAAAATTCAATATATTCTTGAATATTCCTTCACATACAAGGAAATATTATGTTTTGAAGGAATCTTAGAGAAAGTACAGACATTTTCAAATCCATTTATTTATGTTGTTTGTTGAGTTTTGATCAGGAAACCACACAGCCACCTAATTTTTTACTAACATCTGTGTTGAGGACCCTGTTTGACTGTCACTAGTTAAATCAGGTCTTAATGCGGCTCATTTTTTATTTTATTTTGTTTTATTTTTTAGTTTATTTTCCTTCGTCAACAGTCTGCAAACTGTTTCCCAGTAGAGAACACACAGAGAAATACTGTAGATATGGCTCATAAGCTGTGGGGGCTATCTGACAGTAATGTAGAAACGTTTACTATAATTTTGGCTTGTCCATTTGGATATCATCACCAACTACAACATTACCTGTTAACTTTATATCATTTAGATGAGAGTTTATTGCACTACAACTTATCGACATTATATTCCTCCCTTCTACACGTAAACACCATGAGCAACACCATCAGGTATGTGATTTAAATTAAATATGATGACACCAACCTCATTTTTAGTGACACTTCCTG